TCAGTCATGTTTTTATATTATGTGTTTTATTTAAACTGGCCATCAGATGCAAACATCTACATGTTGCTGTGTGACCCAGTGGTCTGTGTGTCACATTTACAAGCTAGGGGGTGGAACATGTAAGTGTTAATTACACTGCTATTTTAATCAATCATTATGTGATGTTTAAGAGCATGCATTTCACTTGCCCTTTACACAATTCCAAGAAGCAACAGTTCTGCTGTGCACTCAGAATTTTTGACATTGACCACAGACAATCTATGGAGTTACAAGCGTACACTGGAAAAAAACATACTTGGAGCCTAAAAACTTTGGCTTGCAAAAGTAGCAGTGTTGTTGTATGTAAACAGATGTACTGATTAAATCAAAGCGTATCTGTTCTGTCAGAGAGTCGATATGAGTTTCTTTTCTTATATCTCTCACCATCTGATTGTTGAATTACTGTGTTCATTCCCTCTGAATCACCACTGTAAGGAGACAGGTAGCAATGCTAATGAGTTTGCAGGTCTTGTGTATACACAATATAAATGGCATTTACTGCAGCCACTGCATAGACATTACCACGGAAACCAGAGACTGGTGTATTCAGTCAGTCCAGATAATACATAGAAAATCAAAGATCCTATTTACTGTTTGCTCACTTGGATCTATACAATCACTGTTGTGTACAAATACATACATACTCACACACCACATCACAGTTGCACTGAGACAACTGGACAGCAGTGCTCTTCCACTCACACATAGGCATGTGAAAGTGTGCACTATGCACATGCATGCTCACGCACACTCAGTGCCTAACAGAAGCAGAGATCACAGCACAGCACAGCACCACTCAATTTCTGACTCCTCTCTCATCTCTTTCCAATGTGAGGAGAGCCACAGAGAGAGAGAAACAGAGAGAGAGAGGGAGAGAGAGAGAGATGATAGCAATGAGAGTGCAAGATGGGTGGGAAGTCAGAAGAGTCTCAGAAGTGAGACAGCAGAGTGTGTCTTCCATGATGCACTTGGTGTCATATTTTGCAACCGAAGATTAATAAAAAAATTACAAGATTCCTAGGACACATCAGATAAAAACACTTTCAAACCTACAAAGGAAATTAAAAAATCTAGTTATTTGTTGTTCATTCCATTTAAACAATGCATAGTGTGTACATATGGAATATCTATGGTTATGTAATAATCAGATTGTGAACTGTAGGTACAAGTCTTAAAATTAGCTTTATAGACAGCCAGCCTTTAATCACTGACTGGCAACTTTATTAGGTACACCTGCACAATCTAATACAAAAGCTCTGTGCAGATGTTCATAATAAATCTTCCAGTGAGTATAGATACCAGTTAAAGTTTTAATTACAGAACAATCAGAGACACAGGTGGATGTAGATAATAATCTGCACTTAAAAACAAGTCTATGATTGAGAAGTGAGGATATCAAGAGCCTGAGCTGGAGTGTGACAAGGGACATACAAAACTGTGGCTTCGGCATAACAATAGACATTAAATTATTGACAAAGGGGATTTTTGTTATTCATACATAATGTAAATAGTAGTGGATAAAGAATTGATCCCTGTGGCACCCCATTCCTGATGGTTTGATACGTGTATAGCCCTATCAGCCACAACTGTTTGAATTTACCCTAAAAGATAAACCATACAGCTATAAATGTAATGGAACTGAAAGCCAGGGACTTGTTGGATTATAATTTTAATTATACCATTGATACAAATAAACAGCTTATTCTGTGGATAAGTGTGTATGGCACATCGTCTGTAGTCATGAGCTTGAAATGTTTAGTATAAAACACAAGGTTTTGATGGTGCAACATCAAGCAGACAACTATCTCAAACTGTAAGGTTGTATTCTTAAAGTGGCTGCAAAGTTCCTTCTCTCTGAGACCACCCATGAGGATTGTTTTCTACAGGAAAATAATTTTAAAATTCACTGATTTGATAATCACCTGACGACACAGGTGAATATCCTCCAATGTTGGGTTCTGAAGACAGCATGGCAGCGATTCAAAAATATTCCCCTGGCACCTTATAACACTACATACTATACACTCAGGAAGGTAGAGACGAGGGGGAGAAAGAAAAAAAAGAGGTGGAGATGTTGGAAAAAAAAGGAGGAGAGAAAGAGGAAAAGGGGTAAGACAGGTCCAAAAATAAAGGAAGGAAGAGCGCTAATGAGTACACTCAGGTTTGCTCAGTTGCTGTGACAACACACCGGCTCATTGCTTCAAGCCACGAGACTGCATATCTAATGAATAACACACAGACACACACAGTTGAGACTACAGAACACAGTATATCCCCTCAAGCTATTGTCATCTGCATGGTTTTTCAGGCGTCCAAAGCCCATCAGAACACAACACACTCCGTTGAGAACAAAAATGGCACGTGTCCATATGCCTGCATGTGTATGTGTGTCTGTAGTGAAAACTATCAAATAGGTATGCCAACATAAAGAAACACAGCCAAAGCTTTTAACCAAATCAATCAGGACCACCATGCTACAACTGTGCCAGTTGGACTGAGCTGAATAGTTTTAGCAGGGGAAAGAAGAGCGAAAGGAGGGAAAAACCTACACAATGCAGCAGATCCTCCTGCACCAGGACCTCGGGCGTCCACACTGACAGGCACAGTATACAACAGAGTCGAAATATAGCTCATAAATTGTGCGTGTGAAGTTCAAAAACTGTGAAAAGATGTATGAATTTTACTAGATGTATGCAGAAGGAAATTGTCAGTAGAGGCACTTGGCAGGGATGTCCTGTCTTTCCTCTTGTCTTTGCTTCAGTTCTTGACCCACTAGATAATGCTGTTTGTCAATCACCAGATACACTGCAGTAGGGTTAGACAATATGATGATATACACACTGTGAGATGAAAGACATTTCTTTTGCTATTTGCATATTTTGCTATCTAACTTCTTTTGAGGTCAGACTTGTGCTTGCATGAGGCCTTTGAGGGGGTTGGATTTTTGCATCAGTGTGATTAAGTACCTTAATTTCTCATGATCAATTTACTGGATTAGCCAAAAACAAAACAAAATAAATGAACAAATGTTTTTGAATTACTCTTTTTAGTGTTAGTAGTGTAGTGTGCTCACTGCTCATGAAAGACATGAATCTCTGATTTTTCCCACTCGTACTGCCAACGGCCACTAGCTGTTGTCGTAGTGTACTGCTCACGTTATCTGTGGTCGCTCAAGGCGTAGGAAGTGGGCCAACCAATGAATGAGTGGGAATCAATGCCTTGAACGAGGATGTCCATTTCTGAGTTGAGTCCAGAGCTTGGCAGTTATACTCACTCTCACACAGTCACACTGAATGAGTTTGAATAAACCGTTCATTCGAACTTGCCCAGGAAGAATGACAAATTGATGCAGTCAAATCACATTTTTGTGTTTAGGCTTACATTGCGGGAATCAATGCATTAAAATTGATAGTTTATCTTTATTAATGTAAACTTATACATGATGATTGGTAATGCATCTGAAGAGTATTGTGGGGCAAGTAGCATTAGCTGCTGTGCATGTACTATAGCAGAGTATCATGGAGAAACTGACGCCACGTTTTGCAAAAAGTCAGACCTCGAAAGGTTTGCTACATTTACATGCACTGACTTGAAGGAAGAGATCCTGTGAAAAGATGTTCCACCCATCACTACTCGATAGTGCAGAACGGTTGAGGGCTGCCAAGAAGGGCGGTAATATTGTGCTTTGGAAAAGTAGCATATGATCACAAAGCTGTCACTTTTCTGACAGATTTGTGAGGATGAGGTTGCTTTTCTCATTTAGAACTGATAATAGTGCAGCTAATGTGCATGTAACTGAAGTTAGAGTTCTCAACAAAAATCAATCTGCTCTTTATTGCATGTAGCTGAGATTTTGATGATATATTGATTTCATCACAGATTTAGAAGGTATATGATTTTTCATGGAAACAAATATTGATTGAGTTGCATCTATTAATACTTTGGTGGTATTTTACTTTAAAATGCTGCTTGGTGACATTGTGGTATCCTGTCTGCAGCTACCTCCAATGATCCCTGCACAGTAGGTCACAGCTGCAAAGGGCAGTGCATCCGTATGTGTGTGTGCAAGAACTGTACGTTGTGTGTGTTTAAAGGTTCATCCATGTGTTTATTTGTCTCTGTACAAGCGCTGTATGGAGGATGTCCTCCCCAGGGGCCAGTGGAGGGCCTGGGGGCTTGAGTTGACAACACCGATAACCAAGATCAGCTGTTCAACCAATGGACCTCCAGCATAAATGACACATACTAACACACACAGATGCATGAGACATGCAGACACAGTGTCAGTTTCAGAGAGGTGGAGGGAGAAACAGATGTCACATTGAAGCCGGGAGGAGGCTTCTCATCCTCATACTGAGTCCTTGAGGCAAACTGTCTGCACACACACACACACACACACACACACACACAGAGACAGCATGGCAGAGCACAGAACAGAACCGCTCAATTGCTGTTTCCGCTTTGATGACAGTTCAACATGAGGCAGGAAGACAGAGGAAGCATCACTGTGAAAATCAAAAATTCATTAAAAACTGAACTACTGAAACTAGACCTGTAGAATACCAATATGCAGCTCTAAAAACTCACACAACTCAAAAATAAAACACTAAATTGTCAAGCAGAAGCCTAAAAGCCTAGTGATGAGGAAATTGTGAAAAATGCTGCCTGGGGTAAGATGTCATCATTTAGAGTAAATATTTGGGTTGCATGTTGGACAGATTCATAAAGTCAAAACGTATTTAATACCAGATATCAGGTGAGAGTAAGGTGTCATCTGCAAACTGTTTGGTATTTTCAATGAAAGATGTAATGTTTTTATCCATCCATTTTATCCATCCAAATTTTATTCATTTTATATAGTGGAGTTCCTATGCTTCTGTCATTAATAATGATAAGCCAGACACCGATCACATTCAGAACCTGAACGACACAAAAGATGATATTTGTCCCTCTCTGCTTACCTTCCTCAGCAGGTTGCAGATCCTCTCGATGTTCCGCAGTCTCTCCCTCTGTAAGGAGAAAAACAGGGAAAAGTTAAGTTAATAACATTGCAGGATTCAGGAAGTTAAGAGCTAAAACCCGGAAATGAGTTAGCATTTCCTCTACTTCTGATTCCTCACCGCAAAGTCAATGGTTTTTGGTTAAATTCCGGAAATAAGGTCTGTGGTTAACTGTGGTTAGCAAATTTTTAAGTTTACATCACATATGTCAGTAAATATCCCACCCATGAATTTTAAAGCTTTTACGTGTCTTAAAACATAACGCTAACAAGTGGCTAATTGAGACTTCAGAGATTGTCGGTGACATTAAACATCAGCATGCCTACTCACTAGTCCGCCTTTACAGCCTTGTTGTGTTCATACTCACACCCTTGCAAACTATTCCAACTCACGTTAGCTTTTTACCTCTAGCAATGGCATTTAGGCCACAAAATTCAGTCTAACAGGCTCAGGTAGGATACCATTTTATTGCCATGGGTCTTGTGTCGGTCTAATAACCGAAGGGCTCCAAGTGGACTTGCTATCAGCTCTGATTATGTGGTGTTTCATAATTATTGAAAGAGAAAAATGTGTTCTAAAATGGAAAGTACAAAAAAACAAAAAAACAAACTAAACTGCATTGCTAATTGGTGGTGAATCAAGGATCAGGTACGACTGTTCTCAGTTCTTCAGTTTCAGATGGTTTCTCTTTTAAAACAGTGTGCACCAGAGAACCCTGATCAGGACCACTTATCAACCAATCATGAGATTGTCGCCACAATAGTGTGACAGCAGGACATTCTCTTATATACAGTACTGTAGTTCTTTGGAGGAAAACTTAAGAGAGTTTTCCTCCAGCAGTCACTGTAGTGATCACAATGTTTATGTAAGTTACTATATTTCAGTATTTGAGCGTTCTCAGCTTGTGTAATAAACTGTAAAATGCTTAAATCAGCACTCGCCACAATGCTGACTCTAACAGTCACCATTTCACCACAGCTTTTAACATCATCATCAAATATTAAGTAATTCCTATAGAAACGCAATCTGGACTTGACTGGCAGCGCTGCGTGTTCCACAGGAGGCGATGCATAACTCTGGCTGCTTATAAATCATATATTGATCTGAGCGTCAAGCTGTTTGTGCGCTTGCGGACTGACCGTTTGACTTCATCTCTGCTTCTCATATAAGCTGGCTGCAAACATCAACAACAGAGACTCCATGGGAACGATAGAGTATATAAAAAAATATTTAGGCTCACACAGAACATCAAAGCCAGCATGTCTAAAGCTGAACTAATATTTAGTAACCACACAAGAAAAACAGGATTAAAGTGTGTGAAAATGTAAGTAATTGGAGTGAAAACACACTTTGCTGCCTCTGAACACTGCGTTTATGAGTTTATGAGTGTCTCTGTCTTTTTCATATACGGGAAACCACAGGCGTTATCTGCATCTATACGTTACAGACTGTAATGTTGCCCCTATTTAAGCCCTCTGTGATTTCAACTTAAGTGTTTTTTGCTGACTGCGAGCAAGAAGCCAATGTGACTTTACCTCTGCTCAACTACAGTGTCTCTGTTGTGTTGTGGGAGAGAGAAGAGGAGAAAGAAGGAAGAGAGAGAGAGAGAGAGAGGAGAGAGAATCGGAGACAGAACAGGCTCCGGGTGAAGAGAGAAGAGCTCAGACAGGCGCATAATGTGTGTGTGTCGTGTTGGAGCAGAGAAACCCTTCGTGTCCACACACCACACACACACACACACCTAGAGGTGGCTTCTGCCCATTCACAGCTGGCAGAGTATTTCAAACACACAGTAACCCATGAAATATGATTTTCATTCACCCAAGGGCTTAACTCTGGTTCTTAAATTCACTGTAATTTGTTTGAAGTGTTGAACTTTTTTTAAGAGTCTAAGTGGATATAATTTTAGTCCACTAATGGTTATAGTTGTTGGTTATTATAAGACAGTTTTTAGACAGTCTAAAACAGGACATATATAGCTAAA